TCTATAATCAGATATTGAGAACACTGAATAGACACTGTAACAAATGTTTCTTTTTTTTATGTTACATAAAACAGAAAAAAAACATAGTGATAAGTTCTAAGTATACTGTGTCATCTTTTTTACAGTACCTAGCTGCCTACATATTGCCTTATATGATGTTTAATGTTATCGTATCATGAAATATACATCAACAATAACAAGCTTACATAAGCCATTTCATGTAAAGAAAAAAAAATATGTGTATCATATTTTAGCAAAATAGAAATATTAAATGAAGTATAGAATTAATGAATGAAGACGATCTATGTATGATAATACTAATGGTAAGTTATTCGACATTACTCGATTAGTACCAATTAGAAGTAAAACATGTTTTTTGACATATTTATTTTCTAAATAAATTCAAGAATTAGATTGTTCTTATTATTGAAATTTTCAAAACTATTAAACCTATTTATAAGTCATAGTATCATTTAAAACTATCTTCTCGTTTTTTGCAAATGTTTATTCAAACATATATAATTCTTTAACAATAATGTTTTATAAATTTTTGCTTAAGAGAATAACTTTACAAGTATGAATCGAGGGAGATACAATAGACTTTAAATGAGTTCATGACACTTTTAGACTGAAGTGTTTGGCTTTTATTATTAAGTCTTTTGGGATAATGTCTTCAGAAAATAATAATTAGTTTTGAAAAAAAAACAATAGTTAAATTCCATATATTTACAATATTAATACTATTGCAATATTCAAATTATAGGCATTGCAATAGTGTAGATGTGTGCATACATTATTTAAGTTTTCAATGCTGTAAATCTAAATTTTCAAAATAACAACTTACAGTTATTTATTTTTGATCTAATTTTCTCAAAGATAGTCTATGGAGAAGAAAGCTCTATACAAGATATATGTATATTTAAAATATGAAGTTAAATCATGTCCGACTGTTGGAAATGTTTTCGCATTAGTTTTTGTTGATTTTTAATAAGTAAACTGAAGTATGACATTAAAATTGAATTTTTCGAATATTTTTTTTTGTTCTATTTACTGTAACTCTCTTATATAAATAGCATCATAAGAATAGCTGTAAGAACAAGAAGATCTATTTGATATAATTGCTTTCTTCACTCGATGATTCTAATAGTGTAAAACAAAACTTTGTTAGATTAACTAAAAATATCATTATGATTGTCTTTTCCAGACTTCATGTCAGAACAGCATAAGCCAATGAGTGCAAATCAAAAGAATAACTTTTTCTATTAATATATTATTGATCTTTTTTTTAGCCTTTACAAAATATTGTACATAAAGAACAAAATGATATAAATATATTTGAATATACATTAGAACGACATCAAAACTGATCCTGAATCATGACTAAAAATTATATTTCAATGGTCTATTCTTTGTGAGCAAACTATTTTATAAATTATATATATATATATAAATATTCTAGGGAGAGAAGACGAAAAGTATAAAATAATATTCATTAACTGAACTAATCAAAAAATAGAGCATGTATTTTAAATTTGTTTAAAAATATTTGATAAGAATAAATTGTGAAATACTTTCCTCTAAGTTGAAATTAAACTTTCAAAAAGTAGAATAACAGAGATCAGAATTATGATGAACAAAAACTTGATTTCCTACATATCTATGGCTGATGCCTACGAATGCATACAGATAGAACAACATTGGAAACCAATGGAAAGTAGAAGTAATATTCGAATGATTTCCAGGTAGTTTGTTGTTCGTTTCAAGAGGAAACTATCTGAAGTCATTAGAAAAAATTGCTTCCATGTTTCATTGATTTCCGAACTTTCATTGCACGATACGATGATTCGGCAAGATCTGCTTTTTTTCTGAAGGTTGGAATCATTGATATAGAGACATGTATCATTTAAGTTGATTCGTTCCAAGGTACTGTACTTCTCTTTATATTTTTCAATTTAAAGTTCTAATCTCTACGAACAAAATCTTGAAACTCAAATAAAAATACAATCAAAGATTTTTAAGTAATAGGGCAATATTTCTTAAACACCAGTGATGTTTTTTTTTTTTGTGAAACACAATTTAGAAGAAGTATTGATGTATAAGAGTAGAAATTAGTATTCACTACTTTGACTCCACCTCCACCAACATGACATACAGTGCTATCAAACTAAAACCTTTTGTGAGATTAATACGAAGCAAGATTTAATCTCGCATACGTGTCTGTAACCTACTTTTCAAACTATGTAATAACATGTTTTATCACGGAATATATATCAATATTTTTAAAGTCTCAAACTGAAAACAATGTGTATAATATCGATTTGAAAGATAATAAATAGTTAAGGAGATGCAAGTTTATGTATTTATGAATTCAGATCCTAGATTTTTTTTTCCAACAATATCTAATAGTCTCTGTATATAAACAAATGATAGATTAAGATTTCATCTATTTATTGAGTACTTTCAGAGGAAAAAAATTAACGTATAGTTATTTCTTGTTGTTCTTCTTTCCATCACTCTATACTTATTGAAATTGAATGTTTTCAACAAGAGCACTATGTTAACAAAAAAGGAAATTGATAAACAAAATTCTTCATTGAAAATTATTTAACCAGTAAAAATGTCAAGCAAATGAGGGGCTACAGGTCCATGTTTTTTCTTTTTTGTAGAATCGAACCTGGAAAAGGACCCACAGCTCTCTGTAAGTAATGTGTTTTACTGTTCTAAAAGCGATAAGGAAACAAATAAATTGTCCCGTGTATCTCTTTTATTAATATGACCTACATATATGAGAATCGTTTAATACCTATGAAAAGACAACTAACTGTAAAAAAACGAAAGATTTGCATTAATTCGTTAAAAAAAATACTTGAAAGAACATTATTTACATGCTATGATAGACGAATGTGACTTAAAATTCGATAAATCTTAACTAAATAAAACTACACATTCATGATGTAACGCTATCTATACAAAAAAAAAAAAGATTTGCATACTTTGACCTTAATTGTTAAGTATTAGGTACTTTATACTCTCGTGTAAGATATTGACATTATTTTTTTTTTTCATGAATCGAAAGTTTCCGGACGCTAATATTGTAAAACAGTGATTGATCATAATGAATCAGTAAATTGATCAAAGTTTTATCTTATTCAACAAATTTTCAAGTTGTATTTGATTGGATTCAAAATCGAAAGAAAAATGTTTGTATGTCATTCACTAGCTTTCGCTTAACAGTTTGTTGATTGTGCTTTCAGATGAATTTTTTAATCTTATATAACAGAAAAATCGAATAATTCATGTACATATAAGATTGATAGAAAAATTCATAATAAAAACATCAATCAGTTGTGTTTTCAAAAATTGCTCCTAATTCTACTTATACTTGCAAAATTTAAATAAGAAAAGAAAAAAAAATCAATTATATAGGTCATTTTAATAGTAGATGGCAGCAAAAATCAACCTTTTTGGTCTTACTTGCTTCATATCTTAGGATTTGTCTAAGATAAGTCTCTGATATTCTGTATGAAAGCAGAAAGATATTAGAAGAACGTAATATAAGAAAAAAAAACTCAAGATATAATAACGATTTTCATATGAGAATCTAACAGTATAATTAACTCATATACATACAGATCAATCGTATTCTACATTGTAATACTTATGTGAATTTCATTAACAACTATTTTAATTATAAAATAAGAATAGTTTTTGAATAATTTAATAAGATAATTATGCTTTATTTTTATAATTAGTATGAACTAAGAAAAAATTTTATTTACATATCGATATTTTATTTACGAAGTTTGTATAAGAATCACTCAAATTTTTAATAAAATAATTTATTTTTCACCATCATAAATCAACTTACTGAACTTTGAAAACATTGATCTAGAGGCAAAATATTCACAGACGACTTGCATCAAAAGTAAATCATTAATATACCATTTCATACATAGAGAAGTGTTTACTCTTTCGTTCTTTACATTTATAATAAATAATTTTCTCTTCTACTGTATATATTCTTTTGATGTACTGAAGGTCGTTCATATACTCAATTTACGAGTCTCTAAAAAAGGTCGATTCATAATTCTTATACTAGAAATTGTGAAAAATACGTTGAATCAATATTTCAACAGAAAAAAAAAAAATTTTTTAAAATTGTAAATTGAATGAATATTTTTCACTCAAATTAGTTTTCAATTACTAATAATTATTGCGGCAAAATGAATATTAAAATGTCAATAGAATAACTAAATAGAAGAGAAGTAACATTTATAGTCAATTTGATACAATATGATCATTATTAACAAAAAAATCGTTTTATTTGTTTTTTTAACTGTTAAAATATAGTTTGTTTTTATAAGATATTTAACAGTTGAACGTTAATTAGAGAATTGTTATACAGATGTAAGCAAGAAAAGATACTCGCTTCTTAATTGAAGAACGATAACTGTTCAGTCATAGGTCACAAAAAAAAAACGAGAAGAATAGCAACGAGAATATTGAAGTATGCATGGTTTATTTCTTTTTTTTTCATCAACGAAAACAACTTAAGACACTCATTCGTCTGTTTTTTCTAATCCTTTGTTTTATTGTAATTGCACATGAAATGTAAAAATATTTTCTGTACGTTCTTATCGTCCGATTTCATGACACGTGTAATAAAAACGTGCTATTATGAATGTCAGCAAGAACAAACATGTGACATTAATGTTGAAATATATATATATTTCATAATTTCCAAATGATTCAATATTTATCGATTTTCTCACCTTACTCATTACTAAAATTATATTACCTGAATATATATATCGAATAAATTAGCTCAATTTTGTTTTTTTTTTTTATGCACTTTCAAGGTCATAGAGGATAGGGCAAAAAAAATTTTTTTCATATGTAGCTACATGGCCCATATTTTCTTTTCTCATTATTTCTTCTGCCAATCAAACAATTGTTACTCATCATCGATATTTTATCTCTTTTAGATTTGAACTTTATCAATGTCTTTAATAAAAATGTCAACCAACAATACAAACGAAGATTACTTATCAAGTAATGATAAAGTAATACATTATTTACAAAATTCTACATGTAATTCAACAAAATCTAATAATTCATTATCTATGCTTAAACGATCACCATCAAGTAATTTATATCTTTTACAAAATCGTTTACGTTATTGTTCAGAAAATGATTCAATATCATCATCATCTTCATCAGTTATGGATTCATTATCACGATCAGATTTTAGTTTGGAATCAAGTTTATCTGATCCTATAGCACGTTGTAGTACATTTAATTCAAATATATCATCAGAAGAAGATATTGATTTTAATATTGGATTTGATCAAATAAGTGATGATGATGATGACGATGATTATGATGATGATGAAACAAATAATAAATATATTTTAAATAAAAAACAAGCTGGTATGTATTAAAAAAAAAAAAGAATCAATTTCAACCTTTTGGTACGATTAACGTGGTGAATTGGATATAGATGTAAACAATCTGTTGATTGATAGTCATTGCCGATGTTATATAACAAAAACTTCTTTAATTTTTATTACATATTAGTCTGTGTAGAATAACTTTTCGAAATGAAAATGAGTTCAATAACATAAGATATAACTTATGTCAAATGATTACTTAGATTTTCGATCTTTAAAATAACCATAAATCCTTTATTTCTATTAATCGGTTAGATGCTTCACAATACAAATGGCGTCTTTTTCTTTACATGGATCTAATTATCTGCAAGTATTTTATATCTAATAAATGCTATTACATAAATTCCATATAACATAATCATAATTTATATTTTGAACAAAAAATAACACTAGAATAAAATATAAATTTTAAATTATATGATCTTTCTGATTTTGTTACGAATAATTAGTAGAACGATCTTTGTTGAAGACCAATTATATTAGATTTTTAACAGCACCCTTTTCAGGTGCACATAAGTTCTTCATTATTCGCTTCATTAAATAGAGTTTTGTTTACTTTCATTTGGCTTCAATACATTCGTGTCATTTCTACTTGTAGAATCAATATATTTGACCTTCGTTGATGGTACATATGATTTACATAAATGAATCCTAACAAACTAAAAATCACTGTCTCTGACTCACAGTCACTGCTCATGAACATCATGACTGTGACCAAAGAGATTTGCTCATGTTGACTCGTTAGTACTTGAAATATCATAAGAAAAATATTGTTCTACAAACTACAACAGCTTATTTTACGTTTTAATTTAGAATCTACGTTCAAAATAAAAAACACAGTAGCTTTCTACTGTAAAACGAACTAAATGGTACAAAATACAACTCACATTGAGCTTGTTTTAGTTGAAATATCATAAAAAAAGAAATGCTCAGTCTATATTTGATAATATCATGCGAATCTCTTGGGACCGATGAGAGATAGAGAGTTAAATTTTTGACTAGTTATGAGAAGTCTTCAGGTTCAAAAATGCAGACTTGGATCCTATCTAACGAGCTCCATTAGCGAGAAAGATACATCATTCGACAGTACATTTTAGACCCGACAAAAAAGAACTACTCATTATCGTTTGTTTTTTTTTTAAATTCTTTTCTTCGATTCTTAGGAAATTTCGTTTTCTAAGCATTGCCTTCTAAAGTACGATGTTTTCATAATATAAGCTAAAGAGTTGAAATTTTATGCCAAAAAATTGAAACTTTCCAAGAGGAATAACACATTAAAAAAAAAAACTTGTTTGAATACGTTAAAAAAGAATAGAAATTATTATGCTAAATCTTAATCGTACCAAAAAGTTACAATACATTTAAATATATTCTAATATTATTCAATTGACTTGTTTGTTTTGTTTGCTTTTAGATACAGTTACATTACATGGTAAATCACTTGAAGATTTACACATTAAAAAATTAGAAGATTTTATTCATCGATCTTCTAGTGCAACAATATTTAATGATAATCATGAATTTAATCATGATGATACAATAGTATCAAATTCTACAAAACAACAACAACAACAACATAGTTTTTTACATGATTCAACTTATACATTATGTTCACAAGATCCTTTCTCAGCTTATACAGAAGATCATGATCATGATCTAGAAAATGAACGAATATCTGGATTTAATATACGTTCAAATTCATTGAGTGCTCTTCGAGTTGATCAAAAATCGACTTTAGTAGAAAAAGCACCAAAGAAAGCTGTTCGTTTTGCTGATATGTTGGTATGTTATTGAAAAATTTTCGATATTTAATTCAATTAGAATATTACGTTTATTGAACATGACTATCGTGACTCAAATAAAATTATTTTCAGAAAAATTGATGACCTTAGGGAAAATGTTAAAGAATTTATTAATATTTCGATAAGGAATGAACACGCTCAAAGATTTGACGTAGAAAAAAAAACCCATCGAAGTGCAAGATTATTTTTTTTTATTAAAAAAAAAAACAATTTTTCCTAAGAGAAAATCAAAATTATCTAAATATGGTCGATGCACATCCCTGAATATGACTTTTCATAACATTCGGCTTGCAACACACTCTACTAATTAGACTCTATTATAGTATTTTAAATGACAATTCAAAGCAGCTATAACAGTCTAGTTCTTTTTTTTTTCTAAATAATTTAAGCTTCCTTGTTGAATAAAAGTGTAATAATCAATCGATTAGGTTTATCATGTGAATCAAATACTTCTTAAGACCTATTAGATAAGATGTGCTCGTTTACACACATGCATTTTCTTCCATATGCGATGTTTCGTTTTAAAACTCATTTGAATATAAAATTGAAAGTGCAGTTTAGAAGCCTTCCAGCACCTTATAATCAAAATTGACGCTTTACAATTTTCAATAAAGATTAATAGGAAAAGTTTAGCGGTAGAGCATCAACCATTCTATCAGATTTTCAGGGCTATATATCATATAAGGTGGGCAGATGGATAGAGGTACTACTATTTGAAGTCCATTTTTTTTCTATAAAGCTTCACCTAAAGTTTTCGAAGTCGAGGAATTTAAATCTAGAGATTATTTGTTGAAATTTTTGAGTTCAATTGTGTTAATGGCAAGAGAGGGTTTAATGAAATTTGATGAAAAATCGTTATTTTTGCAAGATCACATTGTCTTGATCGATAATATTGAATTGAAATTTTATCATTCTCATGTTAGCTATCATCTGTATTTCTATTCTATTTTCTATTCTTCAACAGATTGAATTATTACTAAAACCATGTTTACTTTCGAATGAACATCCATATATCATCACGTATCGGATAGTAATCTGATTTTTCACTTGAGGTGTGTTCAGACTCGAGTTTTTTTAAAATAGTAATACTACAAAATTATGTATTGCCATCGAGCGTTCTCATGTACTTTACGCTGCTTTAAGACTTCAAAAATGATTGATCTTAATCGACGATTTTAATCAGTGTATACCATTACTCATCGCTAACGAGGGAACGTTCCCAAGTGATTAAAAGCTTTTGAGCTCATATGTTGCCCATTAGGTAGGGAACCACTAGATTAGAGAAGCCTCCAAAGGATTCGTGCCCATATTGAGATTTGACAGAGATATCGAATTTTTAGTCGATTTTTTCTGCTGGGCCCTAGTTCTACAGCAAAATCATATTTTCGAATTTCGATCTGAAACTTTGCCCAAATGAAGGCTTCAATTAGAGTAGCTTATATAGAAAATTTCAGAATTTTTGGACATTGCATTTCCAAGGTATCAATTTTTGAAAATATAGGCACTTTTCTGTAGATAACATGGATACTTTGAAAGATTGATATCTTGGAGATGCAATGTCCAAAAATTCTGAAATTTTTTATACAAGCTACTCTGATCGAGGCCTTCATGTAGGCAAAGTTTCAGATCGAAATTCGAAAATATGATTTTGCTGTAGAACTTGGGCCCAGCAGAAAAAATCCACTAAAAATTCGATATCTCTGTCAAATCTCAATATGGGCACAAATCCTTTGGAGGTTTCTCTAATCTAGTGGTCCCCTACCTAATGGGTAACATATGAGCTCAAAAGCTTTTAATCACTTGGGAATGTTCTCTCGTTAGTCTGTTGATGGAACTGCAGTAAGCTTTTTAACTCTTGCCATTAATGACGTAACACAAGTACATAACTTTGGTGATATAAATAATTTTGACTTGAAATATTTAGAGTTGCTTACGGAAAAGATGCTCTACAAAGTCA